TGGATGTCTGAAAAATAACACAGTAGATTAACGTCTCCCTTAGGAAATACTGAGCCAGATGGGGGAGTGCGTCCAGTACTGGGATGAGGGGTGCAGGGGACAGGGAAGGATGCATGAAGACTAAACTCACGTGGTTCATTCCTGTTCTGCCCCAGACTTCTGAACAGTGAGTCCATCGCTGAGGAAGGCGGAGGAAAGCCCTTTCAAAAGGTGTCGATAAGGCGCCGGCGCCTGGAAGCGTCTGCTCAGAGTCCCATGGAAATTTCTCCCATCACTATGGTGGAGGAAGAGACATTTTTCCGGGGTCACGGAAACTCCCAGACTGCCCTGGATCAGAGTCGCCAGCGTCCGTGCCGTCCCAGGGCACACTTACAGAAGAGCCGGACCGCGACCCTGAAAAGTGGCATGTTAGCTTCAGAACATTTAGTGGCTCAGAGGAGTCCGACCCCATCCAGGACCTGAGGAGACTCCGTGAGCTGTGCCGTCTGTGGCTGAGGCCGGATCTCCACACCAAGGAGCAGATTATGGACAAGCTGGTGCTGGAGCAGTTCATGACCTGCATGCCCCTGGGCTGCCAGGTCTTGGCCAGGGAGACTGGCGTGGAGACTTGCAGAGATCTGGAGGACCTGCTAAGAGAGGACAGAAAACCTAAGAAATGGGTGAGTAGGACCGTCCCGACTGGTTCAGCAAAGGGAGGGCTGCGGGCTAAAGGGGGTTGAACACGATGGGGCCTGAGGGGCTGATTCTCACCAGTGGTTCCCAACCCGATGTGAGTTTGCATCAGGCATCATCGCTGAGAGACGCTTCTGGCTGTCCCAACTTGGGGCCGGCTGCGTCTTTAAACAAGAGGTTCTCATAAAGTGTGCTTTTATGGGGTCGGATGCAGTTCGGACGGCTTGGGAGCTGCATTCTGGTCCTTGTAGTGAGACTGGTCATGTTTGACTCCCCCACCCCCACCCCCAGACCGTAGTCCACATACGGGGTAAGAACTTTCTTGTGCGAGACCCAGAAGTTCAGATGGCTGAAGCCGGGGTCAGTGACACAGACGACGAGAGAGAACTATTCAGGGAGCCCCAGTCTCCCATGAATGGCGTCCGTCCAGAAAACGGCCAGCAGGTAAGCTGAGAGAGGCAGGAGCGGCCAGGAGGCAGGGCACTGTCAAGGGGGCGGTGAGTGTGTGAGGCCCTGACGTTTTTGTCCCAGGGCAAGAATGAAGACTCATCCACCCTTGTCCCCTTGGCCATGAAATTGTCTCAGTGGGCTTAGGTCAATTTGCCACAGGTAAATGCACTCCCGGCTCAGTGCCCGGTGGTCACTGTCCTCAAAGGAACTTCAGATTTCAGAAGATCGTCAGTCCCTTCAGCTGAAGGAGTCTTTTCTAACTGAACCCATTCTGTCTCCCAGAAGACACTGATGAGTGTCTGGAGACAGTTGATTTGTCCAGATGGGAATGGGGGTGGGGTGGGCTGCTGACTTCTAGTGAGTGGAGACCAGGGATGCTGCTCAGGGTCATTCAGCCATGCCCGGGAAGCCTCCATCACAAAGACGAATCCAGCCAAAGCATCCATGAGTGCTAGAGTTAACAGACCTAGACCCCGAGTGCTTTACATTCCGAGTCAGGGGCAGGGAGAAGCTGGGTGACGTATGGGTAGAGAATTCAGAGTGCCAGCTGTGATGTCTGGACTTGGCTAAAAGGTGTGTTCGGGACAGATCAAGGACAACTGGGAGTCAGGCGATGAGTATCAGGGTGGTGGGAAGACCCAGAGAAATTCAGGGCTTATCTTCAAAACAGTTCCTAGGAAAGGGGGGGGGGTCTCAGATCCGGGGGATGAGCAGGATGGGAAAGAGGAGACAGCGTTCTCTTCATGCACTAATTTAAATTCAGATGGGTTTATTGTCTCTGGTTGGCCCTTGTCAGGAAGAGAAAGTTCTCCTGCCAGAGACCATTCCTGGATCAGGTGATCTGGAGGGTCTGACGCCCAAGCAGAACGTGGAGAAGGACATGGTGGAAGACAGGAAAGAGACAGGAGCCCTGCAGCCTCAGCCTGAGCTCCAGGAGGGTCCTGGTGAGTAGGGCGACTTGGACTTCGGAGGAGTGAGTGCCTCCCTTCCTGTGGGGGCCCAGGACTATGGACCCAGCATTACTATCCCGTAAGGAGGGGATGGGCGTAGATTTTCCATGCAACCTTCCCCAGCATTGCTTTCCAGACTGTCCAAAATCCAAACACTTAGGTTCATTGCTTGATAAGAAGTGGTCAGCCCACATCAGTGCTTGGTTCCAATGAGCTTGGGATCTCAGGAAACGCTCCTCAGTACATGGTGTGCGCTGAATCCCCTCTCTCAGCAGATTCCAGGAGGGCACAGGGCGGGAAGGATGCCCAGGAAGGAATGGATCTTCAAGTGGGGATGTGGCCTCCCACCTGTCTTCCAGAGGGAGAGGTTTCCACTCGGAGTGCACACAGAGGAGGCCCTCGGAGGAGTCTGGGACGTTATAAGCGAAAACGGGCCAACAGTCCCACTCGCCCAGATGTGCGTCAAGAAGGAGCCCCATCTGTGGACACAGCAGGTGTCTCGGGACAACTTGGGTCCCGTTCCTTCCGTGCGCCCAGCACGGTGGGGCCGCGCAGCCGTCCTGAGGGAGACGCAGCCCCGGCGCGCACACCGTATGAATGCAGGGTGTGCAAGAAAAGGTTTCAGTATGAATCTCAGTTCACCCTTCACCAGAGGACACACACGAGAGAGAGGCCCTTTCGATGCAACGTCTGTGCCAAGGGCTTCATGCAGCCTTCAGACCTGCGAGTTCACCAGCGAGTCCACACGGGCGAGAAGCCATACTGCTGTGACCTCTGCCCCAAGAGGTTCACCCACGACTCCACGCTGCGTGCTCACAAGAGGGTCCACACCAGGGAGAAGCCCTTCCAGTGTGAGCACTGCGACAAAGCCTTCAGCCACAGGGGGAACCTCAACGTTCACCGGCGCACCCACTCTGGACTGAAGCCCTACGTGTGTCCCGAGTGTCACGGCGCCTTCCGTCAGCTGGGAACCTTCAAACGCCACCAGAAGACACATTTCAGGATGACTCGCCAATGATTCTGCCCACAGGTCCACGTCCCTTCTGCTCCAAGAAGGAGATTCTGGATGACCGGTCACCTACACGATCCAAATGGTGGGTGACACGTTAAGAACTCCAGGAGGATCTGGAGCACAATGGGGGCTCCACCCTCGTGGACGATGAGGGTCCCTGAGTGATGACTTGCCTTTCGGATTGACTTTGGTTTTCTGCTTCCAGAGTCAAGAACTTTTTGCTTTGTGTTGTTCCTCTTCCAACGAGGGCAAG